CAGATGGCTGGACTATCATCATCACAAATGGGACTGTGTGTGTGTGTGTGATACAACATTGAGTGTTTGCTGTCAGGGGATGGTGAGGCTGGCACCGGGCGGTGGAGGATGGCACTCATATTGACCAGAGAGAATAACAGCTGTCCATGAACAGCTGTCCATGTAGCAATAACGGCAGGACCACCAGCAGAGCCTACCAGATGGGAGGATGTCTGGGTGATATGCAAGTGGTTAAATCATAGCGCTAAGCTTGACCGATATGTCCCTGTGACAAATGACAGCAGGTACCTCTCTGTGAGGCCTATACCTCACATAACTAAGCTATCTATCTACCTATCTGATATGACGTGTTGACACAGGATTTGTTAATGTGTTCAAGCCATTTATTTATGTCACTGGTGGGTTCCAGAAGGTCTGCGTGCCAGGAAGGCTGGGGGGCCACTGGTGTTAATCTTAGAATTAGTACGTGATGGAATGTCCTGACTGGGGTGAAAGATGATACTATTCTAGTAGGGAGTGTCACCCAATGATGGATGGCAACAGTTGGTTACAACTTGTTTGCAATGCAGTATATAAACTGAGAAATCTCTGTGTTTATCATTCGGATAGCAAGGGGAAACTCACGTGCAGCTTGCTACAGTTGAAGTCGTACGTTTACATACACATAGGTTGGAGTCATTAAAACTCGTTTTTCAACCACTCCACAAATTTCTTGTTAACAAACGATCGTTTTGGCAAGTCGGTTAGGACATCTACTTTGTGCATGACACAAGTAAGTTTTCCAACAATTGTTTACAGACAGATTATTTCACTTATAATTCACTGTATCACAATTCCAGTGGGTCAGCAGTTTTTCATACACTAAGTTGACTGTGCCTTTAAACAGCTTGGAAAATTCCAGAAAATGATGTCATGGCTTTAGAAGCTTCTGATAGGCTAATTGACATCATTTGAGTCAATTGGAGTTGTACCTGTTGGATGTATTTCAAGGCCTATCTTCAAACTCAGTGCCTCTTTGCTTGACATCATGGGAAAATCAAAAGAAATCAGCCAAGACCTCAGAAAAAAAATGGTAGACCTCCACAAGTCTGGTTCATCCTTGGGAGCAATTTCCAAACGCCTGAAGGTCCCACGTTCATCTGTACAAACAATAGTACGCAAGTATAAACACCATGGGACCACTCAGCCGTCATACCGCTCAGGAAGGAGACGTGTTCTGTCTCCTAGAGATTAACATACTTTGGTGCGAAAAGTGCAAATCAATCCCAGAACAAAAGCAAAGGACCTTGTGAAGATACTGGAGGAAACAGGTACAAAAGTATCTATATCCACAGTAAAACGAGTCCTATATCGACATAACCTTAAAGGCCGCTCAGCAAGGAAGAAGCCACTGCTCCAAAACCGCCATAAAAAAGCCAGACTACGGTTTACAACTAACTGCACACTCCTCTGGTCTGATGAAACAAAAATAGAACTGTTTGGCCATAATGACCATCGTTATGTTTGGAGGAGAAAGGGGACGGCTTGCAAGCCGAAGAACACCATCCCAACCGTGAAGCACGGGGGTGGCAGCATCATGCTGTGGGGGTGCTTTGCTGCAGGAGGGACTGGTGTACTTCACAAAATAGATGGCATCATGAGGAAGGAAAATTATGTGGATATATTGAAGCAACATCTCAAAACATCAGTCAGGAAGTTAAAGCTTGGTTGCAAATGGGTCTTCCAAATGAACAATGACCCCAAGCATACTTCCAAAGTTGTGGCAAAATGGCTTAAGGACAACAAAGTCAAGGTATTGAAGCGGTCATCACAAAGCCCTGACCTCAATCCTATAGAAAATGTGTGGGCAGAACTGAAAAAGCGTGTGCGAGCAAGGAGACCTACAAACCTGACTCAGTTACACCAGCTCTGTCAGGAGCAATGGGCAAAATTTACCCAACTTATTGTGGGAAGCTTGTGGAAGGCTACCTGAAACGTTTGACCCAAGTTAAACAATTTAAAGGCAATGCTACCAAATACTAATTGAGTGTATGTAAACTTCTGGCCCACTGGGAATGTGATGAAATAAATAAAAGCTGAAATAAATCATTCTCTCTACTATTATTCTGACATTTCACATTAAAATAAAGTGGTGATCCTAACTGACCTAAAACAGGGACTTTTTACTAGGATTAAATGTCAGGAATTGTGAAAAACTGAGTTTAAATGTATTTGGCTAAATTGTATGTAAACTTCCGACTTCAACTGTATGACTCTTTTCTCATCATTGATTTAATTTACTTATTTTATTATGAAATACATTGTATCAACTCTCCATGCAATTGTTTAATTATCTTCTTGCATCTTGATATCCTTGATACCAGAGAACTCATCATAACACTATCTCACCTCTATCCTTCTGCACTAGAGGAGACAACTATTCGCACTGCAGGTGATTTAGGATGGTTCCCAAATGGCACCCTATTTCCCATATAGTGCACTACTTTTGACCAGAGCCCAACCTTAAACATTATGTGCTATTCCTCCACATTAACATTGTCAGTGGTACATCAGTGGTTAGGTTACATTAAAATGTGTATGTAAAGAGCACAACAAGCTAGTCACACTGACATAATACAGGGTAACTTTAGCGTTATGTGGAAAGCTGTTAGTATTGATAATGATCACTATCTGTTACAGGGGTTGATTGCTAGTGGCATAGAGGATTCCCATTGAGAAAGATAGAAGAACAACATGTAAACATATTACAGAGATCGGAAGCCACAGTCAGTCATCGGGGTTGTCTGTCTGTCTGGGGTTAGGTATCGACAACACCTCTTCAGTATCTATAGACACCAGACAGATATAGTCCTGTCTCACCCTCAGTCATCCCAGAGCTGCTCTCTGCAACATCTCCAAAAGCAACGTAAACTTTGCAGGACACACTGCAGACTGACACACGTACAGAGGGAGATTTGAACTCGCACACCAAAATAATTTAGATGTATGATGTAGATAGTCACATGGCCATAGTTTAACACCATGAAAACATCCCCTCTTTACACACTAACACACACACGCACGAACACCCACACACAGAGCAGTGGCACACAAGATCATAAGGGTGTTCAGTTCACTGATTGGTCGACATTGTCGTGACTGACCTAAAAGCCAGGGATCTGATTGGCCCTTTAATTTAGTTGGCTTTTTATTTGACAAACAGAGATAAAAGGGTTGTGCAAAGCCCACCCCCTACTGACCCATCTCCAACCCTATATGCCAACTGAGACATCAGTCAAGCATCAGGCCTATCAGGGAGAGACAGTACTAACAGGGGTAACTAACAAAGTTTACCCTAACTAAAACACACACAAAAACAGACCTTTAAATATTCATATATATACATCTTACAGCCACACGACAACACATACTCTTGCACGCATATAGAAAGTAAAGTCTGCTAGCTTTACAGGATAAGAGGCAAAACACAGAGAACACAGCAAGTTGGTCCAGATACAAAGTCAAATCAACAGCAAACCTTTAGTGGCTGATAAAAACAGAGAGCGCAGGGGCTACAAATAAAGATAATGGTCCACTTGGATGTGGAAAACCACTGGTTGTAATAATATAGTTTATAGATAGCTGGTGTGCCTACTGTAGTCACTTTGACTGGCCTGTAAACAGACTTGTGAGCTGACTTCCTGCCTCAGTTACTGAGGAGTCTGGGTAATTGAGTTTCAGGGGCAGAGAGGTCCACCCTGTGGAACAATGCGCTGCCTGGTACACAAACCCAAATCTCTTTAATAAATCTACCTCATCCTAACCACTTGACTCTTATCTCAACACTGTGTCTGGCTGTGTAGTTGACCAAACAAGATGTGATCAAATCAGACTAGGACCAGATTGATCAGTTGTCCCCAGGCAGTCTGGGACTGGTTCACTGAACCTCCCTACCCACCTCACCAATAGTCCAAGCTGTGATATGAACCACCTATTTATTCCTTTATCATTAAAGAGACAGGGATGTAGATATGGTGAGGCTATCATGCAGCTACAAGGTGAACGGCTAGGCGGCTATCCTACTGTAGCTACCACAACACATGCTCACACCCACATAGAGCTCTATACGGTACACTGACAGGTCCTGCTATAGTCATGGAAGGGCCAGTGGAGCAGATGGGGAAGGAAATGACCATGGGACGCTATGATATACAATACAAACACTGCTTTAATAGACATTCTGACAGCCGCTACATTAATAGTGTGTTATATAGGGACTGGAGGGTGTTCTAGCCAGTCTGCAGTTTTATACTGTTAGAGAGACAGAGTGCAGCGTTAGACCATGAGGGAATAATAATAATACACAATGTCATTTGCCTTTTGTAAACTGCTGAGTGTGTAAACGTGAGCAATGCAGATTGTTTCATTAACAGACTGTAATGTATTTATGCTGATTGCTAAGCATAAGCTACTTTTATTGCTGAGATACACCCTTTTCAGTCATGGATGGCTGGAGACACATGCAGGCAGGGTGGAGTGGTGGGGGGGATGCCATTTTGTTTATAAGGCACAACCTGATCTATTGGCTAGCTAAGAACACACGTCAGACTACTGGAACTACAAGGTGAAAGGTAACGAGGCGGTATACTAAGAAAATACCATTAGTGCAGGTGTTTGTTAATCCTTCCCTGTGGATCAATGAACTCACACTGTTTATTTCTAGCCCCCACGTTTCTTTGCAGACCGACTTCACAGGAACATTAATCCATGTCTGAATGATAAAACAGGGAATAAGAAGAACAAGAGATACACAGCGAACCTGGATGCCTCTGGGACATAACAGCACACAGTCAGGGCACAGATCTATCCCCGATGGATCTCTCTCTCTCTCGCTCTCATAATGATTTGTGTGTTGCAAAGAGTTTTGAATAAGTTGTTATTTTCTTCCTAACATGCGGTTGATTAAAATCTTGAGCAAGCAGTCTGTATTGTCATGGGTGTTTCTTGAGTCTTGTTTTCTGCTACGTCTTCTTGCTGCTGGTTTTGTCCTGTGGGGTGGAGGCTGCGGAGGCAGGGCTGGGTCTCTGTGGGGCCGGGGGGTCTGGCCTCTTGCGCTGCTCCGGGGCTGCAGTAGGGATCTGGGTGGGTATGGGTGTGGTGGTGGGCCCCTGCCTTGGTGCAGTAACAGCTGTAATGGCTGCAGTCTCCCCACTGCCTCGTAACACCACCAACGGCCTTTCCGGGTGGTCCTGGGGCCCCGGGGTACAGTCTTTAGGAGGGGAGGCCCTCCTCTGTGGAGGGGGGGCTGGCTCAGTTTTGGAGGAGGGCTGACGGTTAGGAGACTGGGAGGACAGGCGGGGAGGTGGCTGAGGGGCAGGGTGTCTAAAGGGGGAGGGGGAGGGGGGTTCGGGTGTGGCCTTGGGGTGAGGGGGGTCGGAGGGTCTCTGGTTCTGGTCCTTGGCCCTCTCAAAGGCCTCCTTGGCCCCAGGGATGGTGAGTTTGACGGGCCCCAGGAAGCTCTTAGCCACGGTGGCTAGCTGGGACACCACCTTGTCCACCCCACTCTCTGACCCTGACACTGGGGCTGGGGGGCTGGGGGTGGCATAGGCTGGGGTGGCGTAGGCCGCGGCGGCAGCAGCAGCCTGTCTCCGGTTGTCTGCCTCCTTTTTCTCCTTGGTGATGCCTGGGGAGGAGATGGGTGTGTGGGCTATGTACCTGCCGTCTATGGACCCAGTGGGGCTGGATCTGGGGGCCTCCAGGCCAGAGTCTCTCTCCTCACTCCATAACCCAGGGCTACTGCTCTTCCCTCTGGTCTCAGGTAGCTTGGGGCTCCTCCATTCCTGATGTGAAGATGGAGCAGCAGGCTTCAGGAATGTGTCCTTAGTGATGGAGATGAAAGCACTGCCGGGGGTGGCGAAAGTGCTGGACAGAGGGCTCTGGGTGAATTTGGAGCTGGGGTCTGGAGCCTTCCCCTCTCTCCTCCCACAGTCATCCGAGGAGGCTGAGCCGCTGTCTTTCCCTCCCAGCGAAGGAGCACTCTGAATGGGCTTGTGTTCGGGGAGTGTGGAGGGTTTGGTGGCTCTGCTGGGCAGCAGGGTGGAGGTGGGGGACAGACACAGGGAGGGGAGGGTGCCCCCGGGTCCCGTGCGGGGGGCGGTGGCCATGACGGAGGTGGGGCGGAGCAGCGGGGGGGTGAAAGTACAGGTGTTCCTGCCCCTCCCGTCCTGGCTGTCCTCTGACCCCTCGTCTGTCTCGTCCTCTGAAGAGTCCACCTCGTGGATAGCATCCTGCTTCTGCAGTGACTCCCTCCTCTCAGCCCGGTCCTGTCTAATGGCTGACAGCTTGTCCTTCAGCTTGCTCTTCCCGGGGGCCAGCCCCAGCTTCCTGCTGGAGGAGGAGTGTTTCTGTAGGCTGCCCTTCTCCACAGGGCCCCCACGACCCCCCACCCCGGGCCCCAGCCCGACCCCCAGCAGCAGACTCTCTCTCTCCACAGCTGACACCTGCAGGCTCTGCAGACTGGAGTCTCTCTGAAGCATCTCCTTCTTAAACTCCTGGTGGGAGATGTCCAGGCTGTGTTTACGTCCTGTCACCGTTACAGGCAGCTTCTTGTCACCTCCGGCCCCCGACGCAGAGGGGGAGGAGGTGGAGGAGAGGGAGGAGGCTAGCTTCTCGGTGGATTGTACTCGTTTGAGGAGTGGGGAGCGGGGGGGTTCGGTGCTCTTGGGCCTGGAGATATGCCTGACCAGAGGGGGGGAGGAGTGGAGCTTGACGGGGAAGGACTGACCCATAGAGGAGGAGCCCACGGCATGGCTGGGCAGGGGGGGGGGAGAACGTTGGGGGGAGGTGCCCTGCGGGGTGGGGGAGGGGGTGCGGGCCAGGGGGGATAGGGGGATGTTGCCGGCTGACTTGCGGCGAGGGGAGCGGTACTGGCGCTGGAGCTTGGGGGCCAGGCCATGGAGGGAGCTGGGCCGGATGTGACCGGAGCTGGCTGGGGAGTTAGGCACACTGGAGGTGGGAGAGCTGCTCTGAGACGAGTTCCCCCCTACTGAGAAAACACAACACACACACAAACACACAGTTAGAACTTTACGCATTTACTAACATTCCTAAAATGTTCTGCACACATAATCACCACCTTTTATGACCTATTTCAAGACCTTGTGCGAGGTTTGTGTTTGTAGGATGTATTCAGGCCCTGTGTGTCTTACCAGAGTGTGCAGAGTCAGGCGTGGAGCGATAGCCCGGTGTAGGTGACCTGGGGGACAGGTTGTGTGTGGGGGACACTGGTCCACTCTCTCCAGAGGACAGAGAGCGGTTGAGAGAGGATAGACTACGGCTGGTGTGGAGCAGAGACGCCTGCTTAGTGATCTTCCTGAACAGAGAGTTCCTCTTCTTACTGCTGCTAATGGAAACACACGCACACACACACACGCACACAGTTGAACAATAGTTAAAAAGACACAAACAAATAATCCATTTAGCATAATTTATATTCCATGTAGCATGACTGCTGAGAAGAACGGTGCATGGTAAGTGTGTCAGATAAGAGACCAACCTTTCCTGGCCTCCATCTTTGGTCTTGGTCTTTTTGATGCGACGCGCCATCTTGGATTTGGAGCCGGTCTTGCGGGCGGGGCCTACCTTGATGGAGGTGTTCTCAAAGGGTGTGGCTGAGATGGACACCTTACCACCGCTCTGAGGGTAAGACACAACACGTATAAGACAGGAGCTAGTGTATGTGTGTGTGTGTGTGTGTGTGTGTGTGTGTGTGTGTGTGTGTGTGCGCGTGCGTGCGTGTATATGTAAGTGTGTACCTTGAGGATGAGCTCCACCACCTCAGTGTGGACCAGGCCGTGGACAGCCTCCCCGTTCACATGAGTGATGAGATCTCCTTCTCTCAGCCCCGCATCATGGGCAGGACCACCCTCTTCCACATGCTGAGAGAGACAGAGAGAGAGAGGGAGAGAGATTGAAATTATACACCAAATCATATCACTGGCAACTCACTGGTAACACTGTCCTTGAATCGAATGAAGAACCGGATTACCAGCAGTGTTAAATCTCTTTTAGTTTAATGGAATAAGTGTAAAGCAGCCAGTGTAGTTTGGGCCTCCTACTCACCCAGACTATGTGATGTACGGTGTAGATATCTGTGTCTCCCATGTATACCCTGATGGCACGGAGGGTGAAGCCGTACTTCTTGCCCGCCCGGTGGATGATGATGGCGGGCTTGATGTTGGCTACGGCCGGGAACAGGTCTCTACTGGGGGAGGAGTCTCTGGACGAGGGATTGGAGGAGAGGGAGTGGGGTGACATGGGGCTAGCCAATGGGGAGGCTCCATGGTGGTCTAGTGAGAGGGGAGAGGAGATTTGATAGGGAGATCAGACCAGTAGCAAATAGAGTATATACATACACACCTGTATTATATTACTATCAGTTTTACCTCAAGTACTGAATACTAAGGCCAAGATCCAACCCCAAAACAGAAAGAAATGCAAACAGACACACTCACACTGAAAAACGTACCCAGAGACATGCCCATAACACACACACACACACACACACACACACACACACACACACACACACACACACACACACACACACACACACACACACACACACTAATTATCCCTCCCCACACACACCCCCATGTGTACCTGCAGGGATCATGAGTGAGAGGGTAGTGGTGGAGGCAGACTTGATGACCTTGTTGAGGGGTCTGGACTGGGTGTGTTTGTCCGTGTCTCCAGACAACAGTCTGTGGCGGGCCCTCCTAACTGCCAGGTCACTGATGGCCTTAGGGGCAGAGGTAGAGCTGTCTGCTCCTGACCCTGTACCACGCTCCCACACATCTCCTGAACTACCCACTATGGAGAGGGAGAGAGAGAGGCAGAGAGAGAGAGAGAAAGGGAGAGAGGGAGGAGAGGAATAGAGAGGTAAATATAGAGAAAATATAGTACCAGGTAAATTGCAAACAAAAAATAGAAGTGCACCTATAATTAAAAGGGTTCTATATGTAATGCTATTGCAGTGTATATACACTCCCCTCCATATGTATTTGGACAGTGAAGCGAAAATGTGGCTCTATACTCCAGCATTTTGGATTTCAGATCAAATGTTTTATGAGGTGACAGTTCAGAATGCTTCCTTTCATTTGTGATCCTGTATGGCTCAGTTGGTAGAGCATGGCGCTTGCAATGCCCGGAATGTGGGTTCGATTCCCGGGACCACCCATATGTAAAATGTATGCACACATGACTGTAAGTTGCTTTGGATAAAAGCGTCTGCTAAATAGCATATATTATAACTAGTATTTGGTCCATTATTCCTTGCAACTCATTGGATGTGCAGTTTGTTTTGAGTTACACTGAGTGTACAAAACATTAGACGCACCTTCCTAATATTGAGTTGCACCCCCTTTTGCCTTCAGAACAGCCTCTATTCGTCGTGCATGGACTCTACAAGGTGTTGAAAGCGTTCCACAGGGATGCTGGCCCATGTTGACTACAATGCTTCCCACGGTTGTGTCAAGTTGGCTGGATGTCCTTTGGGTGATGGACAATTCTTGATACTGTAAGAATATTCGAAGATAAATACACACAACGCAGAGGACTAGTGGTCAAGGGGACTAGTGGTCAAGAGGTCAAGAGGGAATTAACGATCAATGGAAATAATTGTTTTTCAGTTCAACATCTGTTTAGAATCTTTGTAGGGGTTCCAACCAGGAACTCATAGCTACATGGGGCAAGTCTTCATTGGTCCAAATGGCCAGTAGCCCAATTTTATTGCGAGGAATTTTAATTGGTCAGCCACATGCTAGGCTTGAGGCTATGAACTGCATCCTGTCTCTTTGTTCAGTGGAGAAACATTGAGAACAGGGAAGAATGAACATCTACCATCTACTTTCCAGCATAACAACTATGATTTGTTCTCTTTGAATAAATATATCCCCCCCCCCCCCCCCTGATTTGCTTTGGGGTCTGTGTTATTGAAGAATAACATCAACTGCTAACAATACACATGGGAAACTGTTGAGCGGGAAGAATCCAGTAGCGTTGCAGTTCTTGACACACTCAAACCGGTGCGCCTGGCACCTACTACCATACCCCGTTCAAAGGCACTTAAATCTTTTGTCTTTCCCATTCACCCTCTGAATTGCACACATACACAATCCATGTCTCAATGCTTAAAAATCCTTCTTTAACATGTCTCCTCCCCTTCATCTACACCGATTGAAGTGGATTTAACAAGTGACATCAATAAGGGATCACATCTTTCACCTGGATTCACCTGGTCATGGAAATGTTCCTAATGTTTTGTACACTCAGTGTATTTTGCCCAATAGTAATTGAATGATGGCTGGAATAATTTTATTTCTAAAGCTCTATTTGGACGGAATTAGTTTTACTGGGGGAGGTCGGGTAAAGTAATTATGTGCATGAGCACAAAACACCACATCTGTAATTTTAGTCCCATGAGAATCTGCCATGTCAGTAACCTTCACATGACGGGAGAGTAACAATTCCAGCCAGAAGAACCTACAGTTTTTTGGCAAACTCCAAGGCCCTCTGATAATACTTATCCCTTGCGAATCGACATCCCTGTGTTTTGAGGGGTATTACATTTACATTTTAGTCATTTAGCAGACGCTCTTATCCAGAGCGACTTACAAAATGGTGCATTCACCTTATGATAGCCAGTGGGACAACCACTTTACAATATTCTTTTTTTTAAAGAAATATATATATTTTTTTGTTTCTAGAGTATATTTTTAATTTTCATTTGTTTTATATATATATATATATATATATATATATATATATATATATATATATATATATATATATATATATATATTTTTTTTTTTTGTGGGGGTGGGGTGGGGGGTAGAAGGATTACTTTTATACTATCCCAGGTATTCCTTAAAGAGGTAAGGTTTCAAGTGTCTCCGGAAGGTGGTCAGTGACTCCGCTGTCCTGGCGTCGTGAGGGAGCTTGTTCCACCATTGGGGTGCCAGAGCAGCGAACAGTTTTGACTGGGCTGAGCGGGAACTGTGCTTCTGCAGAGGTAGGGGGACCAGCAGGCCAGAGGTGGAAGAACGCAATGCCCTCGTTTGGGTGCCATTCCCCTCACAGCTCCGTAGGCAAGCACCATGGTCTTGTAGCAGATGCGAGCTTCAACTGGAAGCCAGTGGAGTGTGCGGAGGAGCGGGGTGACGTGAGAGAACTTGGGAAGGTTGAACACCAGACGGGCTGCAGCATTCTGGATGAGTTGTAGGGGTTTAATGGCACAGGCAGGGAGCCCAGCCAACGGCGAGTTGCAGTAATCCAGACGGGAGATGACAAGTGCCTGGATTAGGACCTGTGCCGCTTCCTGTGTAAGGTAGGGTCGTACTCTGCGAATGTTGTAGAGCATGAACCTACAGGACCGGGTCACCGCTTTGATGTTAGCGGAGAACGACAGGGTGTTGTCCAGGGTCACGCCAAGGTTCTTTGCACTCTGGGAGGAGGACACAACAGAGTTGTCAACCGTGATGGCGAGATCATGGAGCGGGCAGTCCTTCCCCGGGAGGAAGAGCAGCTCTGTCTTGCCGAGGTTCAGCTTGAGGTGGTATTACCTGGTAATACTGGTATTACACTGGTATTACAGTGTTTAACAGATGCTGCTCGCAGTTTGGGTAAGAACATGGGAACAACTTCATGCTTAAAACAAAGTGCTATTCACATAGCCTACAGATGAATGATCTGTTTTGTCATATACCAACTTTCCCAGTGCCTATTTCACTTTTAAAAGATTAAGCGGATGATATTGTGCCAATGAATTCATCAATTGAAAAAATATGTCAGTTAATAAATTAATAAATTAATTAAGGGTTCTTATTGATATTATTTTGACTGTCTCCAAACTGTCCCCAAACTGAAAGCCAATATTAGGCTATCCCTAGACAAGTTGAAATATCTTCAAGCCTAGAACAGCCTCCAGGCTTCCATCATCACATTTTGAATGAGAAGGAAAACAAAATTAGAGGGGGCAGTTTGGTAAAACTAATCCCATCCGAATCATCCTCTGGAAAAACAGACATGCTCAGGTAATAATTACATAACCTCTGTGAATAGGGCTTAAGTGAGTAGATAAGATGTTTCTGAACACTTCTAAATTAATCCTGATAATCCTGAAAAATCATGAATGAATCATGAATAATGATAAGTGAGATGCCGTTCAGAGTATACAACTAAACATATTTTTTGGAGGTGTATGATCTTTGTGCCTTAATTTAATACTTTTTTTATGGGGAGGATGCAAATGCCCCAACAACTTTGTAGAGTCACAAGCTTGATGTAGTTAATGCGTGCAAGGAATATGGGAGCCTAATATAAAAATGTAGCTTCGCTGTCCGAATACGTATGGAGGGGAGCGTACATGTACTGTATATACAGTGGGGTTCGAAATGATTGACACCCTTGACAAAATGAGCAAAAATTACTGTATACAAAAAAATGATAATAATACTGAGCTAAGCTAAAACAATTGGGAAATTATAATATTTTATACTAATACAATTGCTCAGAGAAAGATATTTTGTTTAACAAGTTATACTTTTTTAAATCAAAAGGGTAGGGGTAGAAATTGACACCCCTGTTTTCAATACCTCACCTTGCGAGAATAAAGGCAATGAGCCTTTTTCTAAAATGTTACAGAACACATTGGGAGGGATCTTAGACTATTCTTCCATACAGAATCCTTCCTGATCCTTGATATCCTTTGTCTGCGCTTCTGGACTGCCCTCTTAAATTCAAACCACAGGTTTTCAATGAGTTTCAAGTCCAGAGACTGAGATGCCCATTGCAAAATAGATTTTGTGGCCAATTAACCATTTATTTGTGGATTTAGATGTGTGCTAGGGGTTATTGTCTTACTGGAAGATCCACTTGCGATCAAGTTTCAGCCTCCTGGCAGAGGCAACCAGATTTTTGGCAAAACTGTCCTGGTACTGGGTAAATTTCATGATTCCGTTGACCTTAACAAGGGCCCCAGGACCAGTGAAAGCATAATAGCCCCATAACATCAAAGATCCACCACCATATTTTACAGTAGGTATGGGGTTCGTTCATGTCCATGCATTCTCATTTCAATGCCAAACCCACCCCTGGTGTGAGTGGCCAAAGAGCTCTATCTTCATGTCATCCAACAAATGTAAACGCCTGGTGTTTGCTAAACGGCATTGGCACTTAGATTGGAACCGGTGCTTTGGTCAGATGACATAGATATCTTTGGCCACATACACCAGTGGTGGGTTTGGCGTCGAAATGAGAATGTATGAGCAGAAAAGAACACAACAAAATCCATATCAAAATCCACAAATAAATGGTTAATTGGCCACAAAAGTATCCAGACTTACAACCATTGAAAACCTGTGGCTTGAATTGAAGAGGGCAGCCATAAGCGCAGATAAAGGATGGAGGAATGTTCTAAGATCCCTCACAATGTGTTCTCCAACTCATAAAACATTTTAGAAAAGGATCAGTGCCGTTATCCTCTTAAGGTGAGGCATTAAAAGTTATTGAAAACAAGGGTGTCAATAATATTAACCACTACCTTATTGAGAATGTATTTGTATTACTTGTTAAACAAAATATTTTTTTCGGAGATATTGTATTAGTATATATTTTCTGGGGCATACAATATAGCTCAGTTTTTGAATTATTTATTTTATATAGAAATTTTTGCTCATCTTTATTAAGGGTGTCAATCATTTCAGACCCCACTACCAGTCAAAAGTTTGGACACACCTACTCATTCAAGAGTATTTTTAAAAAAAAAATTACAATTGTTTACATCGTAGAATAATAGTGAAGACATCAAAACTATGAAATAACACATATAGAAGACCTAGAGTTAGCTCTGCTGCAGAGGATAAGTTCATTAGAGTTGCCAGCCTCAGAAATTTCAGCCCAAATAAATGCTTCACAGAGTTCAAGTAACAGACACATCTCAACATCAACTGTTCAGAGAGGACTGTGTGAATCAGGCCTTCATGGTCGAATTGCTGCAAAGAAACCACTACTAAAGGACACCAATAAGAAGAAGAGACCTGCTTGGGGCAAGAAACACGAGCGATGGACATTAGACCGGTGGAAATTTGTCCTTTGGTCTGGAGTCCAAATTGGAGATTTTTGGTTCAAACCGCCGTGTCTTTGTGAAACGCTGTGTGGGTGAACGGATGATCTCTGCATGTGTAGTTACCACCGTAAAGCATGGAGGAGGAGGTGTTATGGTGTGGGGGTGCTTTGCTGGTGACACTGTCTGTGTTTTATTTAACCAGCATGGCTACCACAGCATTCTGCAGCGATATGCCATCCCATCTGGTTTGGGCTTAGTGGGACTATCATTTGTTTTTCAACAGGACAATTCCATATGTACAGTTGAAGTCGGAAGTTTACATACAACTTAGCCAAATACATTTAAACTCAGTTTTTCACAATTCCTGAAATGTAATCCTGTAAAAAGTCCATGTCTTAGGTCAGTTAGGATCACCACTTTATTTTAAGAATGTGAAATGTCAGAATAATAGTAGAGAGAATTATTTCTTTCAGCTTTTATTTCTTTCATCACATTCCCAGTGGGTCAGAAGTTTACATACACTCAATTAGTATTTGGTAGCATTGCCTTTAAATTGTTTAACTTGGGTCAAACGTTTCGGGTAGCCTTCCACAAGCTTCCCACAATAAATTGGGTGAATTTTGGCCCATTCCTCCTGACAGAGCTGGTGTAACTGAGTCAGGTTTGTAGGCCTCATTGCGCGCACACTCTTTTTCAGTTCTGCCCACAAATGTTCTATAGGATTGAGGTCAGGGCTTTGTGATGGCCACTCCAATACCTTGACTTTATTGTCCTTAAGCCATTTTGCCACAACTTTGGAAGTATGCTTGGAGTCATTGTTCATTTCGAAGACCCATTTGCGACCAAGCTTTAAATTCCTGACTGATGTCATGAGATGTTGCTTCAATATATCTACATAATTTTCCTTCCTCATGATGTCATCTATTTTGTGAAGTGCACCAGTCCCTCCTGCAGCAAAGCACCCCCACAGTATGATGCTGCCACCCCCGTGCTTTACGGTTGGGATGGTGTTTTTCGGCTTGCAAGCTGCCCACTTTTTCCTCCAAACATAACAATGGTCATCAAGGCCAAACAGTTCTATTTTTGTTTCATCAGACCAGAGGACATTTCTCCAAAAAGTACGATATTTTTCCCCATGTGCAGTTGCAAACCGTAGTCTGGCTTTTTTATGGCGGTTTTGGACCAGTGGCTTCTTCCTTGCAGAGCGGCCTTTCAGGTTATGTCGATATAGGACTCGTTTTACTGTGATATAGATACTTTTGTACCTGTTTCCTCCAGCATCTTCACAAGGTCCTTTGCTGTTGTTCTGGGATTGATTTGCACTTTTCGCACCTAAGTACGTTAATCTCTAGGAGACTAAAGGCGTCTCCTTCCTGAGCGGTATGACGGCTGAGTGGTCCCATGGTGTTTATACTTGCGTACTATTGTTTGTACAGATGAACGTGGTACCTTCAGGCATTTGGAAATTGCTCCCAAGGATGAACAAGACTTGTGGAGGTCTACAAAATGTTTTCTGTGGTCTTGGCTGATTTCTTTTGATTTTCCCATGATGTCAAGCAAAGAGGCACTGAGTTTGAAGGTAGGCCTTGAAATACATCCATAGGTACACCTCCAATTGACTCAAATGATGTCAATTAGCCTATCAGAAGCTTCTAAAGCCATGACATCATTTTCTGGAATTTTCCAAGCTGTTTAAAGGCACAGTCAACTTAGTGTATGTAAACTTCTGACCGACTGGAATTGTGATACAGTGAATTATAAGTGAAATAATCTGTCTGTAAACAATTGTTGGAAAACTTACTTGTGTCATGCACAAAGTAGATGTCCTAACCGACTTGCCAAAACTATAGTTTGTTAACAAGAAATTTGTGGAGTGGGTGAAAAACGAGTTTTAATGACTCCAACCTAAGTGTATGTAAACTTCCGACTTCAGCTGTATTATTTCATAGTTTTGATGTCTTCACTATTATTCTACAATGTAAAAAATTGTAAAAATAAAGAAAAACCCTTGAATGAGTAGGTGTGTCCAAACTTTTGACTGGTACTGTATATGTATAGTAAGACACTGTCATGTGAATGGAATCAAAGCAGACACCCATCTATAGAGCGAGTATATTGTTTAGCCAGTACTGACGTGTGAGTGTGGCTCTGCTGAGCTGGCTGGTGGTGGACCCAGGTGTGGTGGGGGACTGGACCAGTTTCAGCTCTCTCTCTACGGGGAGCTCTGGGATGGAGAGGGGCAGCTCCTCACTGCGGGGGCCCCTGAATCCCCCGAGGGTCTGGCTGAGCAGGCTGGGGCTCTTATGACTCAGGGCCACCCCTCCTTCCTCCTCCGAAGAGATGGCAAAGCGCGGCATCTCGATGATGGCGGAGCAGCAGCGTCTACGCACCGTCAGAGGAGGGCTGGAGTCACTCTCAGTGTGGGACGACTCCGAGACGGACAGACGCTTACGCAGGCTGTGGGAGGGAGACACAGGAGAGGGACGTTACACATACAGAACATACAGAATATTGTGTTTGTCAAAAGGTTGTGTCAACTACCCTAACTAAGTGAAATGCTTGGGATTTAGAATCTATAAGGCTACAGTTCTGTTGTTGGTGATGCAAGACACAGACAGCTCCTATAGTGGAAAACATAAATAATTAGAATACACTATAGTAAATTAGGCTTTGGTTTGCTGGCCTCGGAAGAGCCCCCTATACTCACATCTCAGGTGACCCCACCAGCCAGGAGCGGTCTCTGGACTTGAGCCCACTGAGGCTGTCGATGCGCTCTCCTCCTTCCTCACTAAGGCTCCGCTTGGTGGGCGGGGGGGTCCGCTTCTCCTCATGGAGGGACAGACGCTCCATACTGCTGTACACCTACACAGTTGTGATTACATGGAGTACATGGAGTGATTCCATTTGCAGCGGCGGTGGTGGGTGTGTGTATTTGTACGTGCGTGTGCGGTTTACCTTGCTGAAGCGGGGCGAGCAGGAGGAGAACTGGCGCATCTCTACGTGATCGTCATCGTTAGTGTCGTCCTCATCTTCAGAGTCCATGTGGTGGTACCTGTCTGAACGGGCTAGAGAGAGAGAGAAAGAGGAAAACGACACTAAGTTACATGACAAACTCCTTTTCATGACACAGTACAGGGAGACTGGGAGATAGAATAAGCGTGTGTAAAGCAGTTATGAAGGGTAAGCTCTATGTTGAAGTACAGCGACTATTTAAACGGTATTCTATTATGTAAATGACTATGGAGTGTGAGTAAAGGAATAGCAGAGTAGGTTCAGGGTGTTACTATAGGTACATCTACAGTGCGGAAAATCTGGAAAAAGGGAAGGGGTGTGAATACTTTCTGAATGCACTGTATATCATGTAGAATAGGTGTGACTTACTGTCAAAGTAGCTGGTGTCTTCCTCTGACTCCAGCTGAGGGATGAACTCTGCCTTCTGTCTCAGCAGACTGTTCCAGTCCAGGTCATAGAAGAACCGGTGTTGCTTCACCTCAAATGCACTGCCTGTGCCCAGCCTCTCCAGAGGGTTCTGTCTGAGGAGTTTACAGATGAGGTCCTGGGCATCGTTAGGAAGAGCCTCCTCCTCCTCTGGCCATATGATCTCATCTACAGAGACAGAGAGCAGAAACTGTAGTGAGATGCATTTTTCCACATACATTTAGAAAACACAGCAATCACTTTTCTATTTTTTATTTCCTTTTTTCTCTGTTAAAAATGCAGACTCCTGTGTTAATGGACTTCTGTTATCTCTGGTACTCACCACTGATGACCTGTCCAAAGAGCTCCTCTGGCGTGTCTCCAAAGAAGGGAGCACAGCCCACCAGGAACTCATACAGGATGACCCCCATGGCCCACCAGTCTACTGGCTTCCCATAGCCCTGTCTCAGGATCACCTCTGGGGCTATGTACTCTGGTGTACCACACACCTGGTAATACACACACAGAGGGGAAGGGTCAAGTATAGGCAGGGAGAGAACTGAAAACAGCACACATACACCCTAACAGTCACTAACAGTACAATGTTGCATTCCCTTAGTCGGTCTCATACATGTACACATCGTCATACACTTTGTTATACATAAGGGAAGAGTGAGTGACCAGTGACAGAGCTAGGGTGTTATGTGTTGGTCGCCAGATGAGTCTCTCTCTGTACCTGTTTATCCAGGAACTCCCTGGTATCCTTCTCTATGTGTCCTTCATACAGGTTGGTGGTGAGGCTCATCAGACCGATCTTAGACAGGCCAAAGTCTGTCAGCTTGATGTGGCCCATCGAAGTGATCAGAAGACTGCAGGAAGGAGGTAGGCAAGGAGAGAGAACGAGAGAGAGAGAGATGGAAGCATTATGAGATGGTGAATAACGCTTATAGCGGGTGAATTATTAAAGCCCATGAGAAGTATCAAAATGAAGTTGTAAGACAGATACTGCCTTCTTGTGTGTGTGTGTGTGTTACTTGTCAGGTTTGAGGTCTCTGTGTACGATGCCATAGTTGTGGAGGTACTCCAGTGCCAGTACGGTCTCAGCGAAGTACATGCGTGCCATGTCCACGGGCAGAGCCCCAATGTTCTTCAGCAGGGTGGCACAGTCACCACCTGGGGAAGGCAGAGGAAACGACAGTCAGTAATATCTACACCCCCGCTCACAAACATGGAAGAAACTGTGTCAGTGTGTACCCAGTATGTAAGGAAGAAGGGGGCCCCCTTCACGATTCTACTAATTAGCTGCTCATCAGGACCTTGATTAGCTGGATCAGGTGTGTTTGGAGCAAAAGCCTGCATAACTAGTAGCTCTCCAGGGAGAGGGTTGGCCACCCCTGATGCATGTCAACTGTGTGTATGATCAGCTATTACCTTCCTCATACTCCATGACCATACAGAGGTGTGTGTGTGTGTGTGTGTGTGTGTGCGTGCAAATGAGCTTTATGTGTGTATAATCAGCTCTTACCCTCCACATACTCCATGACCATACAGAGGTGTCTGCGTGTCTCGAAGGAGCAGAACATGGAGACCACGAAGGGTTCTCAGCAAAGGTCAGGATGTCTCTCTCTACAAAGGCCTGCTGGATCTGGTTCCTTAGGATTAGGTTCTGCTTGTTGATCTTCTTCATGGCAAAACGCTGACGGGTCTCCTTGTGACGCACCAGGTACACAGCACTGCAGAGAGAAATGGGGTGGGAGAGAGGAGGAGGGGGAGGGAAGAAGAGAGAGAGAGCGCGGGGGGGGGGAGGGAGAGAGAGAGAGAGAGAGATAGAGAGAGAGAAGGGGAAGAGAGGAGAAATAATCAAATGGTGGCCAACAGTGTTAGAACTATTATGATCATTATCGTCATTGTCATGGGTTAACAAACCCATGGGGACGCTTCAGTCTCAATCTACTGTCTTATAAAGGTACAAGCCTGCCTGTCTGGCTGACTGTCTTACCCATAAGCCCCATTGCTGATGAGCTTGATGTTCTCAAAGTCCTCCTCCCGTGGGGCCTTGGTTTTAGGGGGAGCTACTCCAGGCACTGTGGCCCCTCGACTATCCACAGAGTCGTCTGTCTCTGGTGTGTCTGGGTTCCCACTGTCGTAGCTGCTCAGCTGGGCCATCTCCTCCAGGGGATCCCTGGTGAGACCCAGCTGGCTGATGATGTAGCGTGGGATGTCTGACTTGATGCCCTGGCCCTCCTTGGCATGGCCCTCTGCTGCCTCCAACAGGTGGTAGAACTCCTCCGGGTCAAACTCCTGTACACCAGGGAGAGACGGAGGGGGAGGAGAGAGGGAGGGAAAGGAGAGGGGGGTTAGAGAAGATTGTGTTATAATCAGCCAAAGTTGGAATGTGTGTGTGTGTTTGTTTGTTGTGGCTCACTGGCTCAACAACAGCACAATCATTCCTGAGAGCATAATCGAGAGGAGGTAATGAGAATGTACTGCAAAATAATCCACAACAGCACTGTACTGTACTGTATGTGAACACCCCTTTATTTCCTTGTCCTCTGACAAAGACAGACCCTCTCTTTCTAATAATAATCATAATAATAATACATGTAATTTGTATAGCACTTTTCATTACAGAGTTATCTCAAAGCTTTACTGAGAAAATTAAAAATATACACTACCGTTCAAAAGTTTGGGGTCACTTAGAAATGTGTTTTCGAAAGAATTGATCAGAAATACAGTGTAGACATTGTAAATGGCTATTGTAGCTGGAAACGGCTGATTTTTTTGGAATATCTACATAGGCCCATTATTTACATTTTTACATTTTAGTCATTTAGCAGCCGCTCTTATCCAGAGTGCATCCTTAATTTATTTGTATTTTTTATTTTACAGACTGGGAACTCTTATCAGCAACCATCAGTCCTGTGTTCCAATGGCACGTTGTGTTTGCTAATCCATGTTTATCATTTTAAAAGGCTAATTGATCATTAGAAAACCCTTTTGCAATTATGTTAGCACAGCTGAAAACTGTTGTGCTGATTAAAGAAGGAATAAAACTGGCCTTCTTGAGACTAGTTGAGTATCTGGAGCATCAGTAATTGTCTGTTCGATTACAGGATCAAAATGGCCAGAAACAAATAACTTTCTTCTGAAACTCGTTCTCTATTCTTGTTCTGAGAAATGAAGGCTATTCCATGCGAGAAATTGCCAATAAATTGAAGATCTCATACTACTACTCCCTTCACAGACCAGCGCAAACTGGCTCTAACCAAAATAGAAAGAGGAGTGGGAGGCCCTGGTGCACAAATAAATTAGGTTACTTTGAGAAACAGACGCCTCACAGGTCCTCAACTGGCAGCTTCATTAAATAGTACCCACAAAACACCAGTCTAAACGTCAACAGTGAAGAGGCGACTCCGGGATGCTGACCTTCTAGGCAGAGTTGCAAAGAAAAAGCCATATCTCAGACTGGCCAATAAAAATAAAAGATTAAGATTGGCAAAAGAACACAGACACTGGACTTTTTCTTTCCCAGTGTACCCCCACCAACACCTCTTTCCAAGCTGTGTGCGTCCATTTGTAAAAACCCATCTTGCGTGTTGTCATAGCATCGGCTGCATGTGATTAGTCAAAAATACTGACGTGAGCACAGGGGCAGCCTCTCCCTCTCTCCACCCCCCTCTCTCTGATTCCCTTCCTCCCTCCCAGCTCCAGAAAAGAGTGCTGAGGTGGAGGGATGGTTCCAGCTGCTTAGCCATGGAGGAGGAGGAGGAGGAGGGGGTGATGAAGCACTGTCTCTTCCCCCACTCCCCTCTCCCTAGCTGGGCAGAGAGCAGCAGCATGCTTGGGCTGCTTGAGAAACTGAGCTGGGATGCTGGATGGATGGGAGGGAGCTCCTATGGGTGATACATAAACTTCTGTGTTGTAGGCTGTTGCACGTGCAGTGCACCTGCCTCTGAGGACAGATGACAATAAATACAGAGCCATGCTTGAGTAACCACACGATGAAGAGTAAATGGCTAGGTGGCTTATTAACAATAGGAAGAAAAGGACTGGCTTGAAAATAGGAACCAATTTATGAAACAAATAACATTTATTTTTTGTGTCATCTTGAAAACCGTGATATAGACATTCATCATCTATCTCCCTCCGGTAAGCACTTACGTGTGAGATGTTCATTCATTTGAAGGAAACATTGTTGGGAAACACCTCCGATAATTCCCCGTCTACCCCCTCTCGTTCCTCTTACCAGACATTCCAGCAGGCGTGCTGGCCGAGCGATGACGATCATCAGCTTCCTCACCAGCTGGGTCACAAATGTGACCTCCACACTCTCAGAGCGCTCGTGAGCCTAGACACAGAGAGGAGAGAGGAAGAGTTAGAGAGCACACCGGTAGTATGAACCATCAGTACTACCTGCAGAAATAGGCAACAGTCACCTCAGAGCTACAGGGGGGAATTATAGAATGGTGTTAGTCTACACACGATAAGAAAGATAGTCTACTAAAGATCGTCTAATCAATTCTACATCGACCAGACTTGGTTTTGCGTATAAAAACAGCTTCACCTATCTGTCCATTCAGAGATGACACAGGAAAGACGATGAGAAGATACATGCAGTCAATACACTCCAACATACAATACAGACTGACACTGACAAGTAGCTAGCCAGCTAAAGCAGAATGACCTCACTGCTACAGTGAAAATATACAATGGAACATGTTGTCAGTTTGGACAGAGTAATTTACCACAGAATTTATCTAGCCTAGAAAACCACCCAGAGAGCACCTCTGATTCCTAGAAAACACTGAGGGGGAGGAAGATGGACGGACGGACGGGGGGGGGGGGTGTAAGAAAACAAAGCGTTAGTGTGTAAATCACACATCCATCAGGTAGGTATAGTGGAAGGCAGCCTAATAGAGAGCCAGAGCCTGTTAATAAACAAGGCCTGGCCAGGCGTCCGTCTGCCACGGGCTAATAGAAAAATCCCATAGTGACAGCTAGGCAGGCAGACCAGGCAGGCAGGCAGCTAGACAGGCAGACCAGGCAGGCAGGCAGACCAGGCAGGCAGGCAGCTAGACAGGCAGGCAGCTAGACAGGCAGACCAGGCAGGCAGGCAGCTAGGCAGGCAGACCAGGCAGGCAGGCAGACCAGGCAGGCAGGCAGCTAGACAGGCAGACCAGGCAGGCAGGCAGCTAGGCAGGCAGACCAGGCAGGCAGGCAGCTAGACAGGCAGACCAGGCAGGCAGGCAGCTAGGCAGGCAGACCAGGCAGGCAGGCAGGCAGCTAGGCAGGCAGACCAGGCAGGCAGGCAGCTAGGCAGGCAGATCAGGCATGCAGGCAGCTAGACAGGCAGGCAGGCAGCAGGGGACCTAGTGGCTCCAATCAGACCCTGAATAATTTATAAAGGTAATGTAAGCGCCAAAGTGCTGAAGATGGAGGGAGGAATGGAGGGAGAGAGAGGGGGATCTCCTACCATTATAGACAAGTGATCGGTGAGTAATGGGCAGCGGTGGGACCGTCATTCACACTCACAACGGCTAATTAACTACGCTGTGTCAGTGTGAGAAACAGTCGGTGTATGTGTGTGTGTGTGTGTGTGTGTGAGAGAGAGAGAGAGAAGAGTGTCTCTGAGTACTCGGACAAAAAAACGAGTATCGTAACGGATATGGAGAATTTTCCGAATATGATTATGACATATGTATTTTTTGGAATTATCCGTGATCGGAAAAAAAAAGTTATTTTCAGGTGCCAGCACACGTCTCTCTTTCACTCAAACAGTGTGAAGGGCTGTGTGCTCCAAACAACTATTGGCTAGCTCTTCTGTCTGTAAAGAAACGGGCGGGGTATCGGTTGAGCCAGCTGCAACGATTGGATTAGAACAAGGCACTCTCCCTCTGCTCTCATTTCACCACGCAGACAAACGCGCAGTTCTGTTTCACTCACTCACAGTCACTCGTCTCAGGGCACAAGTCACCCCTTCTCTAAACATCGTTGCTTTGTCTGTCTACTTGGCGTTGTTTAGTATGCTCACTTTGTCTGTCCGTATAATTATTCCATTGCTGACATTTTACATTTACATTTTAGTCATTTAGCAGACGCTCTTATCCAGAGCGACTTACAGGAGCAATTAGGGTTAAGTGCCTTGCTCAAGGGCACATCGACAGATTTTTCACCTAGTCGGCTCGGGGATTAGAACCAGCGACCTTTCGGTTACTGGCACTACGCTCTTTAACCACTAAGCTACCTGCCGCCACGTCTGTCGTTATATCGTGATCCAAGCCCATGCTTACTATTATTATTTATTCTCGCCCAGGCATGTTTACCGAGCGACAGATCATTTGAAAATAAAATGGCAAACGTAGATCGCTTATTTTGATTGTACAAATGTTGTGGCATAAGTGTCAGGAGAGAAAAGTTTTGCTCCTCTTAAAAGTGAAACAATATATGTGGCAAGAGAATTAGCCTACCTACCTAAATCTGTCTGGAATAAATGCAGGCAGTAGTAGCCAGCCATACCAGCCATACATTAGGCTATTTATTAGCCTATCTCGTTGATCATTGAATAGGACTAAGTAAGTAAATCATGTGCATTTTCATCTGTCTGGGGTCGTTTAACAATGTGGGGGAATGAGTGAAGGAACATAATGATGTGATAGCGCAGTAATGTGCACTTGAGGTTTAGGCTTTACCAGCATTTAAAGAGCACGTCCGGGTTTTCCGATCACGAGTAAATCCAATTACACGTATCAAGTGTGATAAAACGGATACGATTACGAGTATGACGAGATCAGCACACCCCTAGTGTCTCTGTATGTGTGTGAATGTGTGCAAATGTGTGTGGCTTTGTGTGTGTGTGTGCGTCTGTGCCTGTATGTGTGTGTGCATCTTCTAAACTGCCTGTAAGACCTGACTACCAGTGAGTGATGGCCAGCCAGCCAAAGGACCACCTCTGACACACTGTGACCGATGGAGAGTGCTGAGCAGGCAGCCTAGCTGACTAACTACCCCAATTCCCCCCTCAGGTGACCTGGGCCTCTAAGTCTACCCAGGAGTCCTCCTTGGGCCAGAGGCAGGGGTTGCTATGGTGACGAGTCACTCAGGCCTGAGGTTGAGGCTGGGGTTGAGGTGGATCAGGTGGTATCCTGTGAGGTTTTTAATGGTGCCGCTGCGTGGGGTGAATGGATGTATGGGAATGGATGGATGGCCTGGCCTGGCTAGAGGAGGGTTAGAGTAGTGGCCTGGAGCTGTGACAGGACAGAGACAGAAGGGGATAGGGTGAGAGGGGTGAAGAACAAGACAATGGAGAAGAGCACTGATCGCCACAACTGGCTCACAACATGGACTGCCTGCATGAGAGTCTATGTAGGTGCCAAATAACATACACTGAATCAACATACTAAGGTGTGTACCAGACAAAATATTTCAAAGAGGTCTGTGACCTTTTTCAAGCCAAAAAAGTTAAAGTATGCAATAGCCTACCATTTGTTACTAAATAATAAGGATAAGCTTTCGTAATACCATGCCTGTCCCTTGTCACATATATACCTATAACCAACCAAGACGGTCCAGCAGAGACCTTGACCTGACCTCAATCCAAACATCGCCCCCAACCGCAAACAGACAACAAGACAAAAACTCAACTGGAAAAGCAACGTGATCACGCTCCAGTGTGAGTGTGCTCCACTTCCTCCTCCACTCCCTCTGCTCCAAAACATGCAGCACCTCCTCTTCCTCCAGCCTCCTCTGCCACGACACGCGAGACATCATCCTGGGCCAGAGCGATGGAAATAACGGGGAAAAAACGTGACGTTGGCCATCCGGATCCCTCCGCTCCGGGCACCTGTTCACTGCCTCACTCCACGGCACGTTTATATCGCCGCCACCTACCGTGTTCTGCTAAGCGCCCCGAACCCAGTCGGCCAATTATTGCCCTTAAGGTGATACAACGTTCTTTCTGTTCTGTTCTCCAAATGTGGCCAGCATGTGGTTCTCGTAGGGGTTAATACTCTGCCTGCTTCTCTCTTTCTCTGTCTCTCACACACTAACCACAATCTAACAGGCATCAGCCCTAACGCCGGACGGTTTAAACAGCCAATGCAAGACTGGAAAACTCCCCGCAGACCCCTTCCTCTATCTAGATATAGATCCTCTCTCTAGATCTCATATATATATATATCTCTCTCTATATATTAGAGCGCTCTCTCGCGTGCTCTCTGCTCTATAGAGAGCTTAGAGATCGATATCTCTCTCTCCCTCTCTCTCTCTTCTCTCTTCTCTCTCTCTCTCCACCCCTCCTCCTGGGTGTCTGGGAGAGTCATCCATCACCCTTGCTGACTGCTGGGCCATGAAATTAGAATCAGGGAGAGGAGAGACCCCCCCCACCACACCCTCCGTTGACTGGGGGGGTCGGGACGAGGCCACTGGGAGCAATAATGTCATAACCATGAGCCCCCCAGCACTGTAACTGAGATAATAGAGACATCAATGACATCACACACACCATTGAATGTCCCTAAAATCCTAACACAGACCAACCCGTCTTGTGACTAACATATCAGTGGCAGGTGTGGGGGAATGTGTCCCATATGGACAGAAAGAGAGAGAGAGAGAGAGAGAGAGGGGAGGAGAGAGGGAGGGTGGGAGGGAGAGAGGGAGGGTGGGAGGGAGTTTACGTTATTCTGATGGACTAAACGGGTCAAAGTGGTGTCCTCATCCTATGACATCACGGTGTGTTGACAAACTGCCTGACAGACTTGACAGGCTTAATGATGATGAGTGAGGACCTTAGTGAAACCATGCGTGACTGGGGTAAACAAACAGGTGTCTAAATTAACACGAGTTGGACGACATTGTCACTTAATGAATTATTCAATTGATGTTGGAGAATATCACTGCAAAGGATGAAACTCCTCAAATCCACCTTAACTCCCAAAATGAAAACAAACAGTCCACTCACGTCTTGTAGCAGTTTCTCCAGGTTCTCCTGCAGCTCGTAGAAGTAGCGTGAGGTGATGCAGCCCTCACGGCTTTTATCCAGGCAGTCTCTGGACAGCTCTATGACCTGGTGGTGGATGAAGCTGAGGACCCCGTCAGCCAGGGGCATCACCTTGTCAGGGGCCGAGGACGACAGGAAGTCAGCCAGACGGTCCTCCATCTGAGCCGTGGCCTGGGGACGAGAGGGGGGAGGGTTGACTCACACATACCCACCTTCCAGACAGCTCATAGTGAGCTTTATTACAATGGAAAAGCTAATTGAAGGACTGTCATAAATTGGTTAATATTTTAATTATAGGTATTTCATTTCTGAATGTATTAATGTCAACTAAGTCATAATAAACAAATGTCAAGACAGATATGAATGAAGAATTTTTCTGGGAAGGTACCTTGGGAAAACGCTCCTTGTAGACATGGTTCATCATGACGATCTCATGGTCAAAGGAGATGGGTGAGCGACCAGGGCTGAAAGAAGACAAACATACAGAGAGATGAGCGGAGAACGAAGAGACTGTAGCTTGGTGGTCTGGTCTACACCAGTCCAGAGAGACTGTAGCTTGGTGGTCTGGACTACACCAGTCCAGACAGTCTGTAGCTTGGTGGTCTGGACTACACCAGTCCAGAGAGACTGTAGCTTGGTGGTCTGGTCTACACCAGTCCAGAGAGACTGTAGCTTGGTGGTCTAGTCTACACCAGTCCAGAGAGACTGTAGCTTGGTGGTCTGGTCTACACCAGTCCAGAGAGACTGTAGCTTGGTGGTCTGGTCTACACCAGTCCAGAGAGACTGTAGCTTGGTGGTCTGGTCTACACCAGTCCAGAGAGACTGTAGCTTGGTCTACACCAGTCCAGAGAGACTGTAGCTTGGTGGTCTAGTCTATACCAGTCCAGAGAGACTGTAGCTTGGTGGTCTGGTCTACACCAGTCCAGAGAGACTGTAGCTTGGTGGTCTGGACTACACCAGTCCAGAGAGACTGTAGCTTGGGGGTCTGGTTTCCAACAGTCCAGAGAGACTAGCATACTGCATGGTAGTAGGGGTCTGTGTTTTCCAGTATCCCTGAGCTGCAGTACAGCATGACAGAAGTGAGCTCCAAATCCCAAGCCACCAGTAGAGGTATACTGTGGATGGAGGCCAGGTCACACAGAGAGGGCATGAAGAGGATGACAGCTCTTAGGTCAAAAACACAGACATGGACATACATGGCTGCACACATACTGTAGTCACACACACATGGTCACAGGCACACAAGGTCCCAGAGCTGATGGCTCTTGAGACCAGGCAGGGGATTTGGGCATTATGTTCCCGACAGTGTGTCTGAGAGTCAGTCTGAGGACCCTGTCTGTCTGTCAGGACTTCATTGAGGATTTCATACTGATGGATATCTATGGCTGGAAAGGTCAGTTCCCTGGGGAACGAGATGTGTAGCAGTGATGGCGCATTTAGTCTGTGTGCCTCAGCCCCTTCTCTCTCTCTCCACATCAAAAGTCTGGCTAGCAGGAACTAATGGAGACATCCATGACCTTTCTGTCTTTCACTCACACCACTACCGCAGAGAAAAAGCTGGGGTTCTGTCTGAAGCAATGAGGCGACAATGAGACTCCCTTCTGAGACACGTTGTGTGTGTGTGAGAGAGAGAGAGAGACATTCCAATCTGTGTTATATAGCGGTGTATTGGAAGCGGTGGGGGAATGCGTGGGCGGCACAAATTAGAATTTGGGCTCCACAGATGTGACTGTTTGTGTGAGTCATCTGTGTGTCGTGTGGAGGTGTGGTCATGTGACCAGGGGGATGAGGTAATGCCTATAGTCATCCATCGACAGCTCGCTCATCTTATTAACCATTCTATTACCTATTACCCAGCTTAATTGAATGATGTCACACTGAATGTGACATGTGAGGTCAACTTCATAGGAGCTGTTTATTATCATGCCAACACACACACACACACACAAGCACACACATGCACAAACGCACACACACACACACACAATTGGGGG